AATTTGTACTGGGGCTAAAAAAAAAAGCATGCGACTCTTGATCTCGGGTTGTTGATTCAAACCCCACATTGGGTGTAGAGTTTACTTATAAAAAAAAGTAATATTATACTATTTGTTAACTAACTGGAATTTAAATGAAAAAAAAAAAGAATTTGTACTGGTGATGGAGGGAAAGAGACAGGCACTTGGTAATGGAAGCAGATCTGGGTTCCCCAGATGGAGGGCAGGACAGGGGAGCCAAGAGAATGTAGAACCCTTAAAAAAAAAAAAGAAGCTATGAGTAAAGTAAGTCATGATGTAGAAAAAGATATTCAGAGTGAAGTGGTTGGTTGATAGGAGTTGAGCTGGAGAAACAAAGAGAGCTGCTGAGTCGCCGTAATGACAGTCAATGAACACAGCTATTGAGGCAATTTGGGGTCCTATGCGGCTGCTGCATCAGTGCCTTCCAGTTGGGAGAACTGTACCCCGGGCTCTGCCGTGCCTTCTGTCCAGCTGGGCCCCATGATGCCTGGCTATGTAGTTGAGAGTCCTATTAAAATTTTTTTAAAGTAGGCTCCACACCCAAAAAAAAAAATGCACTCATGACTCTGAGATCAAGAGTCGCATGCTCCACTGTCTGAGCCAGCAAAAAAAAACCCCCATTTTTCTTAATTCCGCACGTAATGTACAGTAAATCCCCAAGTACCTAAAAAAAAATGAAGTTGCCTCGACACCAAACCACCTAACACATGCAGAGATTCTTGTATACAAAAAAAAATGTTTTAACTTCATGTACAATACGAAGTTAAATCCTTGTCGTGATGGGTGTGAAAAAAAAAAAGTTTCTTTAAGCTGATGTACGTCAAGCTGAATCTTGGTTTCTCACGGAAACAAAAGTAAAGAAGGGAGGTGTTATCCTTGTTTAGCGCTTGATTTCTTTTCCTTTTCTTTTAAAAAAAAAAATTTAAATTCAAGTTAGTTAACATATAGTGTCTTATTAGTTTCAGGGTAGAAAAAAAAAATCCATCAGTTGTATATAACACCCAGTGCTTATTAGGGGCTTGATTTCTTTTTATTTTTTTTTAAAAGATTTTATTTATTTATTAGAGAGAGAGACAGCGAGAGAGGGAACACAAGCAGGGGGAGTGGGAGAGGGAGAAGCAGGCCTCCCGTGGAGCAGAGAGCCCGATGTGGAGCTTGATCCCAGGACCCTGGGATCATGACCTGAGCTGAAGGCAGACGCTTAACGATTGAGCCACCCAGGCACCCCAGGGTCTTGATTTCTTTTTAAAGAAGTCATCCCCAAAACTGTATTTGTAAAAAAAAAAGCTTTCCAAATTGTTTACATTGACCAAGCAGGCCACAATAAAATAGTATATAAAAAAAAACTTCATATGCTATAATTGTACAGAAGCCTAGTCAAAGTTGTTATTGAAGGAGAAAAAAAAATGCCACCCCAAAATGTGCCATGTTGGCATGTAGACTTTTTTTTTTTAAGATTTATTTATTTATTTATTTGTCAGAGAGAGACACAGTGAGAGAGGGAACACAGCAGGGGGTGTAAAAAAAAAAGAAGCAGGCTTCCCGTGGAGCAGGGAGCCCGATGCGGGACTCAATCCCAGGAAAAAAAAATCATGACCTGAGCCAAAGGCAGACGCCTAACTGACTGAGCCACCCAGGCGCCAAAAAAAAAAGATTCTTTTGAGCTGAAAGTGATCAAGACCCGACAGACTCAGGAAAAACTTTTTACGTCTTCGTTATCTGCAGGGAGCTGGTACCAGGAAGAGAGCTATAACCACAGATAACTTTTTACATCAGAGAGACTCATCTGCATGGCCCGGCAAACATTTGTTGACCGAACATTTGCTCTTCTGTATTCCTGTTACTTGTCTTCCTCCCTTTCAAGTCCCAGGCCTGTACCCCTTTCTAAAAAAAAAACGATGGTTTATAAGCCTCAACTGTCTGACTGCCTTTTAGTCTTGCCTCATTAAAAAAAAACAGTATGGATGTAATTAAATTTGTTTTTCTCCTGTGAATCTCTTTTATGTCTAAAAAAAAATTAGGCCAGCCAAAGAACCTAGAAGGGAAGAAGGGAAATTTTTTCTCCTCGAAAAAAAAAACGTAATTCTGGTTTTAGTTTTACTAGAAACACCAGAAGATGAACATCATTAAAAAAAAAAAATTGGGGAAATCTTTAGAGGCCTTTTGAGTAGACATTTGCAGAGACGTAGCACCCCTCAATGTGCCCTAATGAGAAACTAAATCTGGAGCAAATGTTAGGTTGTTTTTGCTTAAAAAAAAAATTAAATCTCATTGCAAATTTTCTTGAAGTTAAGTATAGGCTCACGTTGATTTTTTTGGGGGGGTGACCTTAGAAACAAACACTTTTATTCTTTCTTGAGAAGCTCTTTCATCAGCTATTGAAGCTTCTCCCTCATCCTGGTCTGATGCCAATGTCCGGGAGCAAGAATCCCTGTCCTCTTCAATGTCCTTCTAGTTGGACTAAAAATCAAATTGACACAAGACAAGAAGAAATCAAAAAAAAAAGTGTATGTACGGGGAATCCACACAGACATGGGAATTTCAAAGACAGTCAGGCAAAATGAGGTCTATATGTCATCCTGAACTAAGGAGAAGGGGCTAGGGGTCTGGGTCTTTAGAAGGAAGGAATGCAATCCACAGGGCAATAAGAAGAGGAGCAGATGTTTGGTAATTAGAGGCTTGCCCTGCCAGACAGATGGGTCACTCAGATGAAATTCATCTCTGTTAATCACCTTTATTCTGGGAATCATTTATTTATTTATTTTTAAAGATTTTATTTATTTATTCGAGAGAGAGAATGAGATAGAGAGAGAGCACGAGCGGGAAGAGGGTCAGAGGGAGAAGCAGACTCCCTGCTGAGCAAAAAAAAAAACGCGGGACTCGATCCTGGGACTCCAGGATCATGACCTGAGCTGAAGGCAGTAAAAAAAAAAGCTGAGCCACCCAGGTGCCCATTCTGGGAATCATTTAGATTCTTCTATGTGGTTAAGGGAGAGGCAAAAGTTTGTCTTGAACCTGTAGGGTCTCAATTACTTTCAGCTCAGAATAATCTTCATGCCAGAGTGGCCCATCTTGGGGTGCCCTGCCTTGGTCCCTACACCAGCCACATCTATATTCAAAATGTATGAAATGTAGACAGAGACCCTGGTTTGTTTCATCCTTAGGGTTACCCAGCACATAGTTCCATCACAGCACTAGTGAATTTGGCTTGTATGGGGGCTTGAATGCAAAAAAAAAATCTGAATCCTCAAAGTTTAAATTCTTCCATTTTTGACAAGCTCTGCAATTTAAAAAAAAACAGTAGATCACAAGGATCATGAGAGCACTCTCCTGTTTTATAAGCTGCTTAAAAAAAAAAATACGTTCTGTGACTATGATAAGAAACAAAATAAACCTATTAGAATCTGTATGTCCAAATGCATAGTATTCCTTCGAGAGTTTTCCATTTTGTAATTTGAAGGTGGAATGAGTAAAAAAAAAAACAGATAATGTTGGAAATGCTGAGAACATTTTTGAAACCATAGAGATAATTAAAAAAAAAAACTACCTAACCAGGTGCTACCCTTCTTTACGGGAGACAATTCAAAGGTGTTTCTGTAAACACCTATTAACTGCTCTAAATATAAAATAAATTATTTCTGTTCTCTCCGGAGAAAAAAAAAAAGACCAAGTCTAGAAAGTTGGTATACAAATTAGGACAGGTGGCAAATATTAGTAAAAAAAAAATATTCTTCAGATCAAGTTAATAAAGAGGATGCTACAGAAAAAAAAAACCCCAAAAAAAAAACAACCAGACTCAATCAGATATTGGTAGGCCTGTGCCTACAGCTGACCAAGGAAAAAAAAACACTTACTTGAAATAAGGTGCAAGGGTGCCATTTCTTCTCTTTCTTTCCTTTAAAAAAAAACTCTACACCCAACATGGGTCTCGAACTTACAACCTTTCTCTACTAACTGAGCCAGCCAGGTGCCCCAAAGGTACCATTTCTATTGAAAATCTAATCACTGAAAGAATGAATGTGGAATTTCTTTACTCCTCAACTCCTAATTTTTTGTCGGGTACACTAGACCCAACATAAGGAAAGGCAGTCTGGGTTTTGGGGTTTATTAATGGCATTTAGGGGGAAAAAATCCATGGTTTGAAAAGCCCAGAGGTAAGTTATATCAAAAATGATTATATTTGACAGTTTTATAGATTCCTAATGTGGGGCACCTCGGTGGCTCAGTCGGTTAAGCTGCCGACTCTTGGTTTCAGCTGGGGTCATGATCTTGGGGTTGTGGGATCGAGCCCCAAGTCAGGCTCCACGCTCAGCATGGAGTGTGCTTGGGATTCTTTCTCTGGCCCTCCCCCTGCTCTTGCACACTCGCACACTCTCTCTTTTAAAAAAAAAAAAAACCTAACATTAGGAAGTTTTCATGGAATTGAAACCTGAATGTAGGAGCAGAGTAAAAAAAAACTATGGAATTGATGGAGACATTCCTTGATGAGGAGCAGATATTCCCCACAGACCTTGTAAATCTGAAACAGATAAGAGAAATAAAGAAACCAAATTTACAGCTTTGATGAATAAAAAAAAAAGTCAGGAAGAGCTAGATATTAAGTGATTAGTTTGTAAGGAGCAAAGCATAAATCTCCTTTAGCTGTAGAAAAGGAAGAGAGCCAGAGACAATCATATTTGGGGCACTGGTCTGAACTTGTGCTGGAAAAATAGTTTTTTGTTTTGTTATTTATTATTACTGATGTAGGAAACAAAGACAAAAGAAAAATTAAATTTCCTTACCACCTACAGCCCACTGTCAAGTCCTTGAAACAGGTAGAGTGATGTTCCTCTAGGAACTCAGCTGCCTCAATGTTAATTCTTTGCTAAGGGCAAAAGGCGATCTTAGCCCAACTGCCAGGATCCTGTAAGAGCACGAGCGGGAAGAGGGTCAGAGGGAGAAGTTCCTTTGGAAGAAGACCGGGGCAGCGAACGCCTCCTGGACATGCTGAGTGGGCTCTGGGCCCTCCGCACGCCGGCTCTTCTCCTCTTCCTGTGCTAGTTAGCTATGGCGGCCGTGAAGACCCTGAACCCCAAGGCCGAGGTGGCCCGAGCCCAGGCTGCGCTGGCGGTGAACATCAGCGCGGCCCGGGGCCTGCAGGACGTGCTGAGGACCAACTTGGGGCCTAAGGGCACCATGAAGATGCTTGTTTCTGGTGCTGGAGACATCAAGCTTACTAAAGATGGCAACGTGCTGCTTCATGAAATGCAAATTCAACACCCAACAGCCTCCTTAATAGCCAAAGTAGCAACAGCCCAAGATGACATAACTGGTGATGGTACCACTTCCAATGTTCTAATCATTGGAGAGCTACTGAAACAGGCGGATCTCTACATTTCTGAAGGTCTTCATCCCAGAATAATAACAGAAGGATTTGAAGCTGCAAAGGAAAAGGCACTTCAGTTTTTGGAACAAGTCAAAGTAAGCAAAGAAATGGACAGGGAAACACTTATAGATGTGGCCAGAACATCTCTACGTACTAAAGTCCATGCTGAACTTGCTGATGTCTTAACAGAGGCCGTAGTGGACTCCATTTTGGCCATTAAAAAACAAGATGAACCTATTGATCTCTTCATGGTTGAGATCATGGAGATGAAACATAAATCTGAAACTGATACAAGCTTAATCAGAGGTCTTGTTTTGGACCATGGGGCACGGCATCCGGATATGAAAAAAAGAGTAGAAGATGCATACATCCTCACATGCAATGTGTCATTGGAATATGAGAAAACAGAAGTGAATTCTGGCTTTTTTTTACAAGAGTGCAGAAGAGAGAGAGAAACTTGTAAAAGCTGAAAGAAAATTCATTGAAGATAGAGTTAAAAAAATAATAGAACTGAAAAAGAAAGTCTGTGGTGATTCAGATAAAGGATTCGTTGTTATTAATCAAAAGGGAATTGACCCCTTTTCCTTAGATGCTCTTGCAAAAGAAGGTATAGTAGCTCTGCGTAGAGCTAAAAGGAGAAATATGGAAAGGCTGACTCTTGCTTGTGGTGGAGTAGCTCTAAATTCCTTTGATGACCTAAATCCTGATTGTTTGGGATATGCAGGACTTGTCTATGAACATACATTGGGAGAAGAGAAATTCACTTTTATTGAGAAATGTAACAATCCTCGCTCTGTCACATTATTGATCAAAGGACCAAATAAGCACACACTCACTCAAATCAAAGATGCAATAAGAGATGGCTTGAGGGCTGTTAAAAATGCTATTGATGATGGTTGTGTAGTTCCGGGTGCAGGTGCAGTGGAAGTGGCAATGGCAGAAGCCTTGATTAAGTACAAGCCCAGTGTAAAGGGCAGGGCCCAACTGGGAGTTCAAGCGTTTGCTGATGCATTACTCATTATTCCCAAGGTACTTGCTCAGAACTCTGGTTTTGACCTTCAGGAAACACTAGTTAAAGTTCAAGCGGAACATTCAGAATCAGGTCAACTTGTGGGTGTGGACTTAAACACAGGTGAGCCAATGGTAGCAGCCGAAGTAGGCATATGGGATAACTATTGTGTAAAGAAACAGCTTCTCCACTCCTGCACTGTGATTGCCACCAACATACTCCTGGTTGATGAGATCATGCGAGCTGGAATGTCTTCTCTAAAAGGTTGAATTTGAAGCTTCCCTCGTGTCATCTGAATCATGAAGACTCCACGAGTGATCCTAAGAATATAGCGATGGAATTTTTGTCCAAGCCTCAAATAATTTTCAAAAGCATTTTCTTTTCCCATATGAAAAAAAGAGAACACTGACACCTAAAATTCTGAAGTTCTGAAATTAGTGTTTTTTTAAATTGCACTGCAATGTACACACATTAAGCAGGCCGTTTTTACCCAATGAAAAGGATGTTTTGCTTTAGCTTCAGTGATATAAAAGTCCCGTGTGAGATAAGTATATGTTATCCACCTTGTTATTAAATGTTCCTTGAAAAACAAAACAAAACAAAAAAACAAAACAAAACAAAACAAAATTCCTTTGGAAACTTCCTTTATCTCTATCCCCCAAGGTACATGTTGGCAATCATCCCCCAAGCATATGGCCCACTGATATATATCTGAAGGGTCTCACGATTAACGTTTTATTAGGAGGTAATAAATGACCTTTTCCTAACAATGGCTAGTCCCCTCAAGGTCCTGGAAACCTTGATTCTAAAATTGCTTAGAGACTTAAGCTATCCCTAACCCCCCTCCCAACTTGAAAGTATATAATGGGCCACTCCTCATGACCCCAGTGCAGCTCCTTCTGCCTACGGATCCTGCCCCTGTGCTTTAATAAAACCACCTTTTTGCACCAAAGGCATCTCAAGAATTCTTCCTTGGCCATAGGCTCAGAACCCCAGCATCTTTCCTACATCATTATTATTTAAATCAAGGGGGATAAAGCTTGTAGGGCCCCACACTCCCTGGAGCTCTGAGGTAAAAGGTGCACTTAATGAAGCAGGACACCTGGGATGTGAAGGAACAGTTGCTTTGCATTATCACTTATTTTGCTGTCCAAGAGTGACAAATAGATTGAAGAGAAATGTCACAGCTGAGATAAGGAATAAAGCAGATGGCCAGAGCTGAGAAGGATGACAAACTAATGCACACAAAGGCTCATGAGTCACTAGGACTTTTGTGCTTAGGTGTTCTGAATCTATGGGTTCAGGTTTCTGATTTTTTTAAAATTGCGAAACATTCTGGGTATTATGTATTACCATATTTACTCTACCATAGCCTGGAAGAATCCGGCAGGAGGGGCTGTTTGCTGTCTTATCTTATACCACAGTGCCACCTATAGGAAACTCGTGTGAACTACATGCAGAAGTTATTAAAACGTATTGGAGGCCTGTCTACACAATTATTAGAATCACAGGATTTCAGAGGCGATGGGACTTTAAAGGTCATTGGAGCCAAATTTCTACCAAGAGCTTGAATCATTTTTATAAAATATTTGATTAGTGGTTGTCCAACTTCTGCTTAAACTTCCTCAGTGAATGGAAACCCACTTTCACTAAGCAGCTCACTCCTTTTTTTTTTTGTTAAAGATTTTACTTATTTATTTGTCAGACAGAGAGAGAGTGAGAGAGAAAGAGAGCGCGTGCACAAGCAGGGGGAGCGGCAGGCAGAGGGAGAGGGAGAAGCAGGCTCCCCGCTGAGCTAGGAGCCCGATGTGGGACTCGATCCCAGGACCCTGAGATCATGACCTGAGCAGAAGGCGCCACGCAGGCGCCCCTAAGCACCTCATTCTATTCATATTTTCACATACTTCTACTTTTGACTCTGCGCTTCACCACTCCCTTCTGCAGTAGCTGGGCCTCCTAGTTCTAGGCCTTTCCAGGGTTCTTCAAGATGAATTTGCTTCATTCTCAGTGATATACCTGTTTGCAGATACTTCAGTCGTGGGTTCTGCCAATTCAGTTACTACTGCTTTCCATCTTTCAAATTATCGCCTACATCTCCTGTCTCTTTTCCTCCTCTCTCCTTCTCTTTGTTCCTGTGGATTTATGCTTTTATTAGGAAACATTCATCTACTGTAGTGTTGGTCAGTTTTGGAAGAGGGGAGAAATAAAAGCAAGAGATAAAACCCTTCATGTTTAGTTTGAAGCATTGGCATGTTTTTCTGATTCTCTTCTTATGTATTAAAGAATATAGGTGTAGTGGTTTATGTTTATTTCGATTAGAATTTTTATTGTGAAATCTAGCTCGTTATTACGGCCTTTGAATCTTCACTCTGCCATTCAATATATTGGCTACCTCACCCAGTCCTCAAGGAAGAGGAAAAGCAAGCTGGCTGTACACTCAGCTATCTACTCAATGAACAGGACAAGGCTGAAGACAGAATCCCATGGCACTAGAGACTGGATTGACATGGATTGATAATTAGCATCTATCTTCGTGATTACCTGGACCAACTCCTCCATCTTGCTCACAAGGTGCGCATCTCTGTCAAACACCGAGCTAAAATGCTGAAGCACAATGCTGACCACTTTCTCTGATTTACTAGTCTGGCAGAGTTAAAAAAAAAAAAAAAAGGAAAGGAAATTCTATTAATTCGTTAAATTACGACTTGTCCTTCCTGACTCCTAGGCATGTTTAAGTGCTTCCCATCCTCTCTGTGTTCAAAGTGATGTTTGATAACCTGTCTGAGAATTGCATTGTTCATCCCTGCCCCATTTCCTAGGATTCTTCAAAGATAATGAATAGCAGCTCTGTTTATCACCACGTTCTTCCTACTGGAAGCCGGCTGGGATGTAGTTCGTCGGGGCCAGGAGGTTTGTACTGATGTTGTGAACCCAGGTGCTCTCTTACAGTCCCTCCACCAGTTTGGATTTTTACGTCTCTCATCTGAATGCTTGTTCAACTATTTCCTGTCTGATAAATCCTTCTCCTTGTTGGAGATGAAAGATGGAAAACAGGAGACGAAGCGTTCCACAAACTACATATCTCGCCCTACAGTTGATCTGTCACTTGCCTTGTTCTAATTACTCCTACATAATTTCAAAAAGTCATCCTTAGCATTTAAAAGTTTATAGTAGACCCCTTGGGTTTATAAGGAATTGAGAGTTATTCAACATTTCTGATCTTCAGTAAATCGCTTTATATGGGGCTGGTGTGGTGCAGTCTACGCATTGTAGGGTTCAGACTGAAGCTCTTGGCTTAGCAACTCATGATTTAACTCAGATTCAGAAAAAAAGAAAAATGTTTCAAAATTCTTTATAACTTCATTAAGTTATCTGCCTTTCCTAGACATGGGATAGAACCTGAAATGATTTGGCTACACAGGGTGTTGAATTTCTTCAGTATGCCTCTCTAGATTCATTCTCTGCCTTTCCCCCTACCATTCTCCAACCTGCCCAGCTGTCTTGCGTGGATTACATCAAATCTCTGGCTTTCTGCAGGAGATGAAAGGGAGGGAGAGAGGAATATGAGGTCAGGGCCTTTTTTTCCCTGGTTTCTTCCTGTGAGGTTGCCAGGCCACTGTGTCCCTCAGCAGAAGGTTGCTGCTCTTGTCTAGATGGCCCACTCCCTACCCCTCCCCGCCTCGTTCTAAGTTGTAGCGAGCTCTCCTTCTGTTTTTCCTTTTGGGGATGGTGACTGTCCCACTACCATGATCTCTCATGGTTCCCTTATAGCCACTCACCCCTTTGGAACTACTGCTGTTGGTAAAACCTCTTCAAAGTTTCCTGGTTTGAGTATATCATCTGTTTCTCTTTTGGGGGACAGGAGGACTTTGATAATAGAAAGTTTAAAACAAGTCTGAGGGAAGATGCTTCCTCTGTGTCAAGTTCAATTGGACCTTATATTGTAATATTCTTAGGCACTCTAGGAACTGGCCATTTGTAGAAGTTTTAGTGCATCAGAGACAAAGAAATATTTTAGAAATTATTTATTTATTTTTAGAGAGGGAGGGAGAGAGAGAATCTTAAGGAGACTCTATGCCCGGCATGGAGCCCAACACGGGGCTTGATCTCAAGACCCTGAGACCATGACCTGAGCTGAAATCAAGAGTCGAACACTTAACTGACTGAACCACCCAGGTGCCCCAGGAATTTTTTAGATCAGAAAATCAAGTGGGTTTTTTTTTCTTGTAAGAATACCCGTATAACTTGAATTTTATAATACAGAATGGATTACCAATATTTTGGTTTCCAATCTGCTAGGTGAAAAATTAAAAAATCAGCTCAGATATATCAAATAAATTATTGGTTTCCAGAATGTATAAGAAACTCCTACAGATCAATATGAAACATACAGAATTATAGAAAAATTATCTAAGTTACAGATTGGAAATGCATATGAAAAGATGCTCAACCTCACTAGTAATCTGGAAAACGCAAACTAAAACAAGAAAGCACTTCACATGCATTAGAATGTCAAATGTAAAAAAAGTCATATAATGTTCTCTGGGAAGTGGGTTTGAGTGTAAGTTGGTACAACCACTTTAGAAATAATTTAACACTATTTTGTAAAGTTTAAGGGAAGCATACTATGAAAACAGCAGTCTATTTGTTCATACACATTAGTTGAAAGAAATTTTTGCATATTTATACCAGGAGACATGTATAAGGACGTATATTGCAGTATTTTTGCAAAATAGTAAAAGTGGAAATAAGGTGCTGTGAGGTAATAGAAAACATATATTGGTCTCTGCCCCTGGTTCCTGGACCAGAGCTCCTAAAACCCTCATAATTTCCTAAATGGTAAGAGTGTTAGCAGCATCTCTTATTCTAGTATTTGTCTTTGATCCCAGTTCCTGAAACAGGGTACTAAATCCCTTGGAATTTCCTGGGTGACAGGACTGTCTTTTGTTCTAACGAGGCTCCTGGATGGATCCTGGATGAGAGCTGGTCACTGGAAAGACCAGCCCAAGATTAGAAGCTTGGAATTTTCAACCGTATCTCCTACCCCTGAGGTGGGAAAGGGACTAGAAAATGGTGTTAATAATTGATCATGTTTGTGGGACTGAGCCCACGGATGAACCGTGGGATCTGACGCAATTTTCAGGTAGGTAGTGTCATAATTGAGTTAAATTATAGGACACCCTTGGGTTCTGGTCCTTCCGAATGTTCTCTCTCAGCCCCATACCCCCATCAGGGTTTGCCTATTCTTCTCTAGCACAAAGCCCCCTATCAGGAGCTTTCTCCTTATTAGGCAACCCCCAAAGAGAGTACACAGCAAATTCTTCTTTTTAAAAAATTACCATTTTTGAAATATAGTTGACATACAATGTTATATTAGTTCCAGGTTTAAAACAATGATTCGACAATTCTATACATTACGTAATGTTCACCACAATAAGTGTAGTCCCTATCTCTCACCACACAAAGTTATTTTCATCCCCGTGACTTTTTCATACCTGGAATTTTTTTATTTTTGTTTTATTTTTATTATTATTTACATTTATTATTTATTTATTTATTTAAAAGGTTTT